AGGCCCAAGAGGCCCCAAGACGGCCCCAGAGTGCTCCAACAGGACCAAACATGGGCTCAAGACGGCCCAGGATGCCCCCGCAAAGACCTCCAATACGGCCTCAGCAAGCCAAAAACTTGAATTGTCCATTGGTTTTTGAATATAAACATAAATGAACAGTAAGGTACAAGTATGTGTATCGATGTCTGTCTGTCTGTCTGTCTGTCTGTCTCTGTCTGTCTGTCTGTCTGTCTATATGTCTGTCTGTCTGTCTGTCTGTCTATATGTATTTATTGTATGTATGTATGTGTGTATGATTGTTTGTTTGTTTGTTTGTATGTATGTATGTGTCTATGTATGTATGTTTGTATGTATATATGTGTATATATATATGGATGTGTATACATACATATATATATGTATGTATGTGTATATGTATATGTATATGTATGTGCATTTGTATATGTATATGTAAATGCATATGTCGATGCATATGTGTATGTATATGTATATGCATATGTTTATGTGTATGTATATGTGCATATATATAATTATATATGTATACATATCTGCATATGTATATATACATGTATGTATATGTATATGTATATGTATATGTATGTGTATATGTATCTGTATATGTATATGTATATGTGTATATATATGTAGATGTATATGAATTTGTATATGTAATTTTATGTGTATATGTATTTGTATTTGTATATGTATATGTTTATGTATGTGTATATGTGTATGTGAATGTGTATGTGTATGTATATGTATGTGTGTATATGTGTATGTATATGTCTGCATGCACGCATGCATGTATGCATGTATGTATGTATGTATATATGTATGCATGTATATGTATACATTGTTTCATCTATATGTTTTTATTACCCAGGACCCACCCAGAAATCGGACCCCCCGAATCCTGGCCCCCCCGGACTCTCTGGACCCCCCGAACCAAATCCGTGGCCCCGGGGACCCCCTGGACGACCCTCCAGGAGGCCCCCCAGGCGTTTCAGTGCTCTTGGAAGCTTCTGCTGGGCCTAAGCAACGGGCCCAAATCGGTCAGGAGAGCGGCCGAACGCCCCCCCGAGGGCCCCAAGAGGCCCCAGACACCCACCAGACGCCCGAAGACGACCCAAAGAAGACCCCCAAGAGGCTTCCAAAACGCAGAGAACATTGATTTCCAACGTTTCTTGCATGATTTTGAAAATGCCCTGTTCTTCGGTCTTCTGGGCGTCCGAGACCGCCTGGGAGGCTCGAAAATCGCAACAACACCATCCGAAAGGGCTTCCAGGCAGTCCAAGGGAGCCCCAAGACTGCACAACAGGGTTCCAAGATAGCTTAAGAGAGCCCCATGACTGCCCAAGATGGCCCCAAGACGCCCTCCAAAGCATTCCAAATCGTGACTCACTCGTTCAGGGAGACCGCGGTTGGAGGCAGGGTGGCCCGAGGAAGCCCCCAGAAGACGCCCAGGAGGCCTCCAGAAGGCCTTAATTAAGAAAGCCAGAAAGATTTCGTGAGGCCCCCAGAGGCTCTCCGAGGACGAGCTTCCGCAAAAAGAGCTGAGGAGGATGGGGGATCATTCGCAGGGTAGGGCGAGAATGAGGAAAAAGAAACATGGAGGAAGGATAACGAATAACATTAATATAACGGCGACGCCGGGGAAGGCAACAAGGAGTTATCGCTAACTTGTCTGTTTGGCCTTCCTGCCATTCTGCCTGCAGAGCAAGTTTCAAGGACCTGGGTGCATGGCGCGAAGCGACAATGCAGTCCTGTGTATATATACATATATGTGTACATATATATATATATGTCTATATACACATATATATACACAAATATGTGTGTATATATATATATATATATATATCCCCGATCCGTGGATCTGGCCCCTACGCGCCAGATCCACGGATCCCTAATCCATATCAGTGCGTGCTTGATGGAGGAAGCGGCGCGTCTCTCTAGAGCACCCACTTGGACGCTGTGGGTGGGAGGATGAGGATGAGGGGGAGGAGGAGGAGGAGGAGGAGGAGGAGGAGGAGGAGGAGGAGGAGGAGGAGGAGGAGGAGGAGCAGGACGAGGAGGAGGAGGACAAGGAGGAGGACGAGGAGGAGGACGGAGGAGGAGGAGGAGGAGGACGAGGAGGAGGAGGAGGAGGACGAGATGAAGGAGGAGGAGGACGACGAGGAGGAGGACGACGAGGAGGAGGAGGACGAGGAGGAAGAGGACGAGGAGGACGAGGAGGACGAGGAGGAGGAGGAGGACGAGGAGGAGGAGGAGGACGAGGAGGAGGAGGACGAGGAGGAGGAGGAGGAGGAGGACGAGGAGGAGGAGGACGAGGAGGAGGAGGACGAGGAGGACGAGGAGGAGGAGGCGGAGGAGGAGGACAAGGAGGACGAGGAGGAGGAGGAGGAGGAGGAGAAGGAGGATGTGTATAGATTTCGCTGCCCTAGGAGAACTGTCTCAACGCAGCCGTGGTCGACGTCTTCGACAACCAGGCGGATAGGGGGCGCGCCTTCGCCTGCCTCGGGGGGCTCAACAGCGCCGGCCAGGTGCTGGGGTCGGTGGCGACGTACTTCTGCATGCGCCAGCGGCTGGAGATCGGGACGACCGAAAGGGGCACAGAAGGAACCGGTACGAGCCTCGCAGGAAAGACAGCCGCAGCCTCCCTCGACTCGGGGCGATCGAAAGGGGCACGGAGAGAGCGGGCACAAGTACGATGCCCCACAGCAGTTCCTGCTTCTTTTGAACTGGACTCGCTGTTCGCGCCGCCGCGGACGCTGTTCTTTGAAGACAAGGAGCAGCCTGCCCAACAGCGGCCGCTGTCGGTTTTGGACAGCATCTGTTGCCCGGTATTGTGCCCATGTTGCCCCTTTTACCCATTCCCGGCGCCCAAAGGAGAACTACACGGTGCCCTGGTTGATGTTTGCTGCCGTGGGGTTCGGCGTTTTTCTCCTAATAGTCCTTGCCCTCCCCGAGACCTTCCCTGCCGAGCTGCGGAAGCCCGTCACGGGCAGCATGCTGAACCCGCTGAAATCTCAGTGGCAGGCGCTCTCGCTGCTTGCCCAGGATCGGGTCCTGGCTGGCCTGGCCGGCCTGCACTTCCTGGTCATGTTCCACTTTGTGGGGTTCATCGTTCTTTCCTTCTCGTACCTCCTCCTGAACGGCTTCTCGATGGATCAGGCGCTACTGCCGGGCATGCTCGGCAGCGTGGCCCAGGTGCTGTGGACGGGCGCAGCGGTGGTCATGCTGCCGAGGCTCGGGCTCTGGAGCTGCTACATCAGGAGAACAACCAGTGACACGAACATAAAAACTCGGAGCTCCGCGCAGGTTCTTCGGATCGGCGCTGGAGCCCCCCGGCGGCGCCTCGGGCGCCGCCCGTAGCGCGCGCCAGGGAGTGGGACCAGCGCCGATCCGAGGAATCCGCAAGTCACCGAGCGCGTTCCACTACTCGCAAAGTGCTTAATCGCAGACGTCTGGAAAAAGACATGTCTGCCCCAATGTAATGCATCGCAAATCCCCCGCGCCGGATCCGGGCCACTTGGGAGCAGTGACTTTGTGAGTAGTGGAACGCGCCTGTCCAGCAAGGGCCTCCGAACCGAGACCCCCGGCGCTGTGATTTTCTCATGACGTGACCCCCAGGACCCTGAACACCTTCCCGCGGACCGGTTTTCCACCCCGAGTCGTTGTTTGACAGTCACGAGGCCCGGCGAGGGCCCCTGGAGGCCGAAAGCTGAGAAAGACCTCCCGTCGTGATTTTTGTTCGCAGCGCAGGGAGGTCTGGGAGTGTTTCTGTGCATGTCGGTGCTCGTTCTCCGAAACGTCGCAGGGCACGCGCTGTTCGCCGTCGCGTACATGTTCTGGGGCCCCTACACCGTGCTCGTGGGCCCCGCGGGGCCCTACCTGGGGCAGGTGGTTCAGTCGGCCGCGTGGGCCCTGCTGGGCCCAGCGATGAACGCGATCGTCAGCGAGAGGACCCCAGGCCTCCCCAAACTCGGGGGGGAAGACCTGGGGCGGACAAGGCACCCCCAGGCATCGGGCGTCTCGAAGACATCGAGACGGAGGTTTTTCGCTGCTTTCGGCCTCTCGAGGCCCTCGCCGGGTCTCGGGACCGTCGAAAAAAACGACTCGGGACGAAAAACCGGTCTCGGGGAAGTGGTGGGGAGGTCGGGGGCCCGTGCCTCGAAAACATCGAGATTTTTCGGACGTCTGGGCCCATAGCTCTACCCTTCGCCCGTTTTCCCCCTTCTGGGCCTCCTGGGAGGCTCTCGTCGTCACCGCTGGATCCGCCTCGAAATGCCGGTCAGTGAGAACGCGCCCCAGGAGAGGTCCAGGGAGTAGCGGTATCGGTACCTTTTTGTTTCCCCAGCAAAGTAGGCACATACACAAATGATCCTCGATGCCCAGGAAGATATGGGAGGTCAAGTGGAGGGGAAGACGGAAGGCCAGACCAAATGGAAAATAGAGAATCCTGGGAGTTGTGTAAATTTGTTTGCGTGTCCTTGGGCCACTTCACAAATAGGGTCCTAGCAGATGGTGTCGGAGGATCGCTTCGCATCGCCGATGCATCGGCGATGCGGCTCATTGCGGCGCCCGATTTCTCTACGCCGACGATGCCGATGCATCGCCGGTGCATCGCCGATACAACGCCAATGCGGCGCGATCCTCCGACCCCATCAACTCGGACCCCTTCCTTTGGGAGGCCTCTAAGGACGCAGAGCGACAACCAGGGTAAGTGCTTCTCGGCTATCTCCACCATGGGAACACTGGGCATCATGCTCGGGGTGCCCTTCTACTCTGGAGCGCCAGCGGCAGCGCGGGCCGGCGTCGGCTGCAAGTAAGGGACCTCTCGTCGGAAGGACCTCTGGTGCGGGCTCTCACGAAAGGTCATTCCGACGAAAGGTCCCTTACGTGCAGCCGACGCCGGTCGAAATGTCGGAATGACCTTTGGTGTAGTGCTTTGGTGCAGGGTCCCCCCCAGCACTGGCCTGCACGGTGGGATCTGAACCCCCCGCGCGGCCCCCGAAGGCCGTGCACCAAGGGTCACTCCTGCCCAGGGTGGCTCTCTCGCGCGGGCGGCGGCCAAGCGGGGTCGGCGGGAAGGCGGCATACTTGGGCCGTCGCGTCGGATTTGCAAGAGTCGGATCGTGCGAACTCGGAATCGGGATCGCGAATCGCAATCTCGGTGTCGAGTCGCTTCGAATCGGCGGCCGCGGAAATCGTTTCGAATCGAGTTGGCGGAGTCGGAACAAGTCCAGGACTGCCATGGATGTATGTTCTTTCTGTGCAGCGCACGTGCCAATTGTGGCCCAGACGCGCTCGGGAGGATCGCCTGCAAAGTGTGCCTGCGCAGCGGCAGGGCGTGCATTGAGGACGCGACGGGAGCCTATGCGAGGGAAAAGGTGCACACACCATGCAACAGGTGCTCTGTATCAGCCGATGGACAATGCAGGTGGCTGTATCCATAATTATGCGCTCTGTCGCAATTTCGGAAACCCTGTACCCAAAAACGTGTTCATCTCCTGGGGGCGCCTTTTTGACTTCCGCCGCCTTCCGCCGAGCTTCCGCCGGCTTCCGCCGGTGGAGGCGGCTTCGTTTTATTCCGCCGACCTTCCGCTGCCCTTCCGCCGCCTTCCGCGGCTCAAGAGATGACAACTCTTTCTATCCACGAAGGCAAGGCCTTTTTTGGAACGCCTCTGCTCTGCACCTGCCGAAATCGCATGATGAGTCCATTTTGTCGGTGCACACGCTGCTGCGTAGCGTGCGTCATGCAGCTCGCATGAGCGCGGCTTATACCTCGCGGCTCGACCGTTGGACCGAGGAGGAGCTCGCAGGTGCCGGCCAGGGGACGCCCGCCACGTTTTCCATTCCTCGATGGAGGTGCCGCCCTGGGCCCGGGATCTCTGAGTGCAGGGGGCGTTCCAGCATTGCAGAGTGGATTTTGGGCAAATTGCGGAGCCAGACGACGAAGTGTTTTGCTCGAAAGAGAAGAACCACATAAACATAAACTTTTGGCGCTCCGCGCGGATTTCTTGGATCCGCGCCCAGGCCCCCCGGCGGCGCCTCTGGCGCCGCCCCTGGCGCGCTCCGCGCGCCAGGGAGGGGGGTCCAGTGCGGATCCAAGAAATCCGCGCGGAGCGCCCAAAAGTTTATGTTCATGTGGTTATTTCTTTGTTATTTGCGAACGTGCACAGTTTCCGGACTTGGTTTGTGGCAGAATCATATAGAATCATTGTAAGCGCGTGTGCTCTGCAGTTCAGGAGTCTTGAGCTTGAGTGTCGAGTGTGGCACTTGCGCCGTAGATGCTGTGAAGATTAGGAGTTGTGCGTTGTTCAGGTGATAAGCTCCACCTGACCTCATGCCAGTCCCGCTCATTCCGAATTGCCTCAACTTCTTGGCCAGTCAGGGTTACCTCGGGGCTGCCTTCCCTTTCGCATTTGCGAATCCACCGTCTGCGGTATCCATGAATCTTCCGCCAGAGCTGGGGGATTTCAATGACTGCGTTGGGTTCGCGGCGAGTGCCGCGAGGCGAGGTGAAGCGGCCGCAACGTTCTTCTGCCACTTTTGCATCTTTCGGGCAGAACACGCTGATGCATCTGAATGCTACAAAATCCTTCGCAGGAAGAGCACCCGAGGAGTTCGAGCTGGCGGGCTCCCCCCAAAAGCGTGAAACTCTCGGAGTGCAGCGCGTGCTTCTGCTAGCAGGTATCTACGTCAACAGTCGCCGTGAACATCTCTGCAACTGTCCGGCGAGGCTTGCTGGCACGGTGAGCGCTCAGGGCCTCAATGGCACCATCAGGCGTATCTCCCAACCAGCCTGTGGTGTTGGGCCCTCGTTTTTAAGAGAGGACGCCCCGCGTCTCCTCCCTCTCCTCCCTCCTCCCCCTCCTCCCTCCTCCGCAGCTCGCAAGCGTCTTTCCCGCCCAGTACGGCATCTCGTGGCCCCAGAGGGAGCTCCACCGAGGGTTCCAGTGGCGCAGTTCGCATGCGATTCCTCCACCCAGTACAGCGCTTCGTGGCCCCATAGGGAACTCCACCGAAGATCCCAGTGGCGCATTTCCCATGCGGTTCCCCCGCCCAGTTCGTGGCCCTACATCCCCAGGACGAAAGTTTTTCCTCTTGGGCCCGGAGCGACGGCTTCAAGTCTGGAACAAACGCGTATGAGATAACCGCCGTCGGATCTTATGATGTTCGCGCGGATCCACTTGTGGCACGCGGGTGTTCGTGTCGGTGGATCCGATTCCCGTCCGCGCGGATCCGATTTCGGATTTTCTGGATTAGTGTTCGGTCTTATTTTTTACGGCGGATCAGATTTTACCCCGTTTTTAAATTTATATAATTAAAACGGGAAGCCGGACGAAATTGGATCCGCGGACCCGGGAACCCACCTGTGTTAAGAGTTCGGTTATTATCTTCCCAAGATGGATCCTCAACTCCACTGCCTCGCGCGCTCCCTTGAACTTTCCGCGCACGCGGGTCCCACTCAACGTGAATTCATATCTCTCCCTCCGGTTGCTGCACGCATCTCGTCCAGACGCCGTTCGTTCGGCGGCGCCGACGTTAGCTGTCCTACTCATCATCGCCATTTGCACCTCATGAGGAAAATCTTTCGTCCTGCGTAAGTATAGGGAACTCCACTCGGTTCCCCCGCCCAGTACAGCGTTTCGTGGCCGTAACTCCACCGAAGGTCCCAGTGGCGCATTTCGCACACGGCTCCCCCGCCCAGTACAGCGTTTCGTGGCCCCAGGGGGAGCTCCACCGAAGGTCCCAGTGGCGCAGTTCGCATGCGGTTCCCTCGCCCAGTACAGCGTTTCGTGGCCCCAGAGGGAGCTCCACCGAAGGTCCCAGTGGCGCGGTTCGAACGCGGTTCCCCCACCCAGCGGGGCCGACATCTTTGATGGCCATCAGGTGTTGGACGGACGCGATGCCACCGAGAATGTTGGGGCGGCGCGGTGGCGGGACGCGCTGGGGACGAACGGATCCGCTGCCCCCTGTTGATTCATCGCAGGGGTGCCTGGCGTGCTGAACCCTCTCGGTTCTGGCTTTGGTTCTTTTCCAAAAGAACTCCCCCTGGGGCTTCGGCCCGTCACGCCGGGGTCCTGGAAGGATTGCCCAGGATCTTCCAGAGCTGGTTGCAAAGGGTTTTCCAGCTCCAGACGGCTCCAAGACGGCCCATGATGGCCTCCAAGACGGCTAAGATGGCCTCAAGATGCCTCCAAGACGGCCCAAGATGCACCCAAGACGGCCTCAGATGGCCTCAAGATGGCCCAAGACGGCCCAAGAGGCCCCCAAGAGGCCTCCAAGACAGCCCCAGAGGCCTCCAAGAGGTCCTCCAGAAGGGGCCGAAGAGGCCAAAATCATTTGTTTTCCTTAGGTGTTTGAAGGATTGTGGCATTTGCTTCTTTTCGGTCTTCCGACGGTTCAAGTCGGCCTCAGAGGCCCCCACGATCGCGCCAAGATCGCCCACGAGGCCTCCAAGGTGGCCCCATGACGGCTCAAGAGGCCCCCAATACAGCCTCAAGAGGGCCCCAAGACGGCCCAAGAGGCCTCCAAGACGCCCAAGATGGCCTCGTAGATGGCTAAGATGGCCCCACGATGCCTCCAACACGGCCCCAGATGCACCCAAGACGGCCTGAGATGGCCTCCAGATGGCCTAAGACGGCCCAAGAGGCCTCCAAGACGGCCGAAGAGGCCTCCAAGAGGTCCTCCAGAGGGGCCCGAAGAGGGCAAAGTCATTGATTAGCCTAAGGTTTTTGAAGGATTTTGGGATTCGCTTCTTTTCGGCATTCCGACGGCTCAAGACGGCCCAAGAGGCCCCCAGAAACGCCCACGAGGCCTCCAAGATGGTCCCATGACGGCCCAAGAGGCCCCCAAGACGGCCCCAAGAGGGCCCAAGGGGCCTCCAAGACTGCCAAAATGGTTTCCAAGACGGCTAAGATGGCCCCAAGATGCCTCCAAGACGGCCCAACATTCACCCAAGACTGCCTAAGATGGCGTCAAGATGGCCCAAGGCGGCCCAAGAGGCCCCCAAGAGGCCTCCAAGACGGCCCAAACGGCGTCCAGGAGGTCTTCCAGGAGGGCACGACGAGGCCCAAATCATTGATTTCCCAAAGGTTTCGGACAGGTTTTGGCATTTGCTTCTTCTCGGGATTCCGACGGTTCAAGACGACGCAAGAGGCCCCCAAGATCGCCCAAAAGGCTTCCAAGATGGCCCAATGACAGCCCAAAAGGCTCCCAAGACGGCCCCAAAACGGCCCAAGAGGCCTCCAAGACGCCCAAGATGGCCTCTGAGGACCCTTGATATGCCCCAAGAGGGCCCCAAGACGACCCAGACAGGCCCCCAAGACGGCGTCTTCGATTAATTGTGGCGGCACAGCGCCGCCGAACCCCCCTGACATAATCACAATGCTGATGCTTCGGCAGAAGCAGATGCCGCTGCGAACGGCCCCGGGCAAGTCGACGTAGCTTGCGAGTTGCTCATCCGAACGCATGCTGGACAGAACCATATTCGACTGGATGCTGGATTGAGCAAGGAACAGCTTTGCGACGATGCTGGCCGCGCGCGCCTCCTGCCAGTAAGCTTTTGGACAAGATGATTTCAAGATGTTCATTGTGCGTGCCATGGCAGCGCGCTTCTCCGGGTAGAAGCTCTGCCACCTGTTCGCTCGGTTGCTCCTGGGCAGTGCTCGGCAGACTGTAGCCTTGGTCGGATCTGATCCAGGTCTTGCCCCGTCC